TCTGTAGCTGGAGGAGAAATGTTTAACCTTCTGGAACTTTGATTTCTTCATCCAGAACATGGAAGATAATATGATTTCATCTAAGGGCTGTAGCAGGATCAAACAGAATCGTGTGAGCAAAAGTCCTAAGCAGCCCATATAAAAATAGATATATATCTATTATAATACAATAATAGCTAAGTGAACGAAAGCCAATAAACACTTGCTAGGACATTAGGTTTTATTGTTTCTACCTTCTAGATAAGGAAACTGAAGCCTGGAGAAAGCTTAGTGACTTGTCCAGTGGAGCACAGCTGGCTGCCTCCAGGAAGTGTTATGGAGTCTGGAGTTTGGAGACCCTGGGGTGCTATGGTACAGGGCTGGATTCTACCTCCTCTTCCTCCTCTTCCTAAGCGGCCTTGTTTCTCATCTCTGTCTCCGCCCCACTCCTTTTAGAGTCTCTCTTCAGACATGAGAAATCACTCACAGTGCTTCCCACAGAGGGGGACAATTGAGTCTGAGTGGAGACTAAGTTCCTAGGTTGCTTCCCAACCTCCCTGGCCCCAAACCGCCAAGGCCCTGGGCAAGGCAGGGGAAGTTAGGACAATCGCTCTATCAGGTATTTATTTGTAATGCCTGTGTCCATACCACATTTAGTGGATTAGAATAAGTCGTTATGTCAAAAATGAACTTTACAACTTTGGTGGCGATGGGGGGGAGGGGTAGGAGGAGGATTGGGGTTGGGGGAGGATGGGAAGGGATGGTAAGGGGAAACAAAGGAGGAGGCTATAATGCTTGATAAGAAATGTACTCATTATCTTGCCCATGTAATTGTAACCCCTCTGTACAGTATTTTCACACTAAAAAACAAAACAAAACAAAAAGAATGCTACAGTTATGTTTTTTGTTTTGTTTTGTTTTTTAGGTTTTTTTTTAATTGTGAAAATACCATACAGAGTGGTTACAATTACATGGGCAAGATAATGAGTACATTTCTTATCAAGCATTGTTGCCTCCTCCTTTGTTTCCCCTTACCATCCCTGCCCTCCCATCTCAGCACCCCCCCCAAAGTTGTAAAATTCGTTTTTCAACATAATGACTTGTACATCTCATTGTTGCAATGGGTCCACCTGTATCCCTATTTAAACAATTTGTTTTTTCCCTTCCCCTCCCCAAATTATACTCTGGTTTCTCTTCAGCTCATATAAATCTTTTGCCTTTTACAGTTGTGTTTTATGCAATAGTTTAAAACAATACCCCTGGTATTTGCTGATGATTCTGAGGATGGGGGATTTGGGGGAGGGAGGGAGGGAGGGGGTTCTTCTGTCTGCCTGCTTGTCTCCCTCCCTCCTTCTTTTACTTCCTCTCTCTCCCTTTCCCTCTCCCTATGTTCTCCTCTTCTTCTCCCTCCCTGTCCCTTGGCAGACAGGTATAGGACCATCAGCCTGGGTGGCCTTGCTTAAGTCAGGGATGACACTAGCTGCCAGATGGCCCTTTCTTTTTTCTTTTCCTTTTCCCTTCATTTGTTTCTTTTCTTTCTGGTTTTTGTTTGTTTGTTTTAGGTAGTCTCATATTTTTTGCCCAGGCTATTCCTGGACCAGACCATGATCTTCCTACTTACATATCAAATCCTCTTTCTCAAATGTGCACCCCAGGACTCCCTGGCTAACCATTACTTGTCTTTAAAGGCTCAGTTCAAACACCTCTTTCTCAACAGAGCAACTTTGACTCTTCAAGTCTGCATTTTTCTCTCTTCTTCCTCTTCCTGGGGTCCTTCATGCCAGCCTGTTTCTCCCGGGCTCTCCTCAATATATGCCCACCCCTAAAAAGACAGGCAAAGCTTGCTTTGTTCTTTCTCCACCTCCTAAATCAGTGCCCAGCACACAGTAGGTACTCACTAAACACTTTCAACTGTCCAACTGATAAACTGATACGTCTATGGGTCCTTAGAGAACAACATGACAGCTATAATAAAGTGGCAGTCAGAGATTGGGAAGGGGAGAATACCTGCCTATCTCATACAAGGGGTCTGTCTGGCCAAGCTGTCCTGACTGAAGGGAACCAGTTCTGGTGATCTGGGGTCATGTGGCTGGAGGAGAGGACCCCATGCTGATACATGAAGACACTTGTGAATTTTCCAAGATGGCAGACTTCTTGGGTGTCTGTATGCCCTGAGGGTGTCAGGAATTTTCTGGGTTGAGGACCCTCTAGGGTCTGAGGGACTCAGAAACAGCCTCTGAAAGGCCCACAATAAGTAGTGAGTAATTCCAAAATCTGACTTACCATTGAAGTTCATAGAATTGACTTACTGCAGAAGTTAGAATGTAATGATTTGCTATGGAACTATGTACCAGTCAGAAGCAGTCTAAGGAGGGAGCTCCCATGTCATCCCACGTGATGATTCCATCAAAGCTACAACTTCAGAATGGAGGGCAGAATGACACAGTAGAGAACTCCCAGGAGCTTTCTAAATGCCAGGACTCTAAAACAAAATACACCACCCACTTCCCATCACGGTCCACTGAAATCCTAGCTACTCAGGAGATTTGAGATCCTCTGGATCTCAACATTTGAAGCCAGCTGGGTAGAAAGTCCAAGAGAATCTGTCTCCACTTATCCAGTAAATGTGGAACTGCAGGTGTGGCTCAAGTGGTACAGCATGAGTCATGAAACACAAAGGCCCAGAGAGTTCGAGACCCCTGTACCAACATAAAAGAGGTAGAGAAGGGAGGGAAGGCATGGAGGTCCAAAGAAATATTTCCAAAAATCCCTGGCTATATTACTTTAGCAAGTAGCAGGCATGCTATCTTTCCTCGGTACTAGTCTTTGTGGGTGACGTAGAGGGCAGAGAGCAGGAGTTTCTCTTTCCTCCTTTGGATGTCTCCACATTTTGTGCCCTACCATCCCCCTCCTATCCTTCTCACCCTTTGCCTGTTTCCTTCACTTTCTTCCTCTTCCCCTACTTTTTGGAATGTGTCTTGGGACCCCCTAATTGCCTCCCAGAGAACATTCATTCCTTTTTACCCGAAGTTCATTTATTTCTTGAATAACTATTAAAACATATTAATTCTACAAATTCTTGGAGGGAAAGGTGCCTGTGGCTCATGCCTACAATTCTACTCAGGAGGCTGAGATTTGAGGATCATGGTTTGAAGCTAACCTGGGCAGGAAAATCCTTGAGACTCTTAAAGTTGAACATGGACGTATGGCTCCAGTGTTAGGGTGTTAGCCATGAGCAAAAAAGCCAAGAGAAAGAGCCTAAGCCCCGAGTTTAAGCCCAGTACTGGCAATAAGTAAATAAATCCACTCTAATTGGGTGGGTCCTCCAGCCAAGGCCACGAAGGTCACAGAGATTCAAGGTCACCATCAGTAAGAGGCCCAATCTGTATTTTTAATGCATTCATAAAGTATTTATTGAGTTTTGAGTTCCTATGATGTACCAGGCATTTCTTCACACCAAAAGAAGAATCCTTTTATTTTTCCTCATTGGCTAGAGCAGAAATACATACTTTTTGGGTTATACCAGTGGTTTTTGCCCCCCTAGTGACGTTCCTCAGTGCCTGGAGACATTTTGGTTGTCACAGATGGACGGGTGCTATTTATTGTCATCCTGACGGTGAGGTCTCCCCTTGACCTAGTGCCAGCAGTGCCCAGGTGAGGTGAAGAACCTGACACACAGGAAAATACTGCTATAAACTATCACAAAGGCTAAAGTCCACACAGGTGAAGGTAGGTGACATACAGGACAGGCAAACTGGACACACTTTGCCCTGTCCAAAAGGACAGGCTACTTGGATCACAGTTTGTTATGTGGGAGCTGAGACCCATGGTCGGAATGGAAGATGAGATCTTCCCAGTTTTCAAGTCAGAAACCCAACGTTTAATATGAAAACAAATTACTCATCACTTAAAAGTGAGCAGTGAATATGAGTATTTTCTAATGCAATGTCAGTCAATTAAAATACATTTTGAAGCCTTGTTGATGGACACAGGTTTGTAACCTTCCCCACCAACCAGAAGGACATCTTCCCAGGACTAAGTTTAGAGTGTGGTATACAAACCACCACCCAGGCTCAGCACTTACCCTGCTGCTGAGTCCTCCTGCTTTCATTCCAGCACCCCTGGCGCTATCCACTTCCTCACCTAGGTATTGAGGCTCACTGAGCAGTAGAACCTGCTAGATAGACCCATTTTATCCTTACAGTAACCCTAAGGAAGTCTGTTGCTCTTCTATTTTAAAGACAAAGAGTTCTGAGGAACAGAGAGGGTTATGCAACTGTCCCAGGGTGACACTCAAGGGGCAGAACTAAAAACGGAGCCCAGGCTATATGGCCCAAATTTGTTCTTAACTACAAAACCAGCTTGTCCTAGAGATGACGGTGGATCCTAAAACTCTAAGCAGGAAGCTCACAAGGGACTTCTTTCGCACACAAGTCAATCCACCCACATCTCCATCCACCACTGAGAACAACACAGACTTCTCAAGTTCTGAGACCCTCAATCTCTCCATCTAAAGCCATGGTTTTGAACTGAAAGTGAGTTTGTGCCCGAGGACACTTGCAGCAATGCTGGAGGTATTTTGGACAGTCACAAATGGAAGGGTGCCTCTGACACTTAGCAGAGCATATAAAACATGGAAAAATTCACCAGAGACAAAGGAACATAAACACTAAAGTACAAAACAAGATTGAGATTCAAGCCTAGTGTCATCTGAAACCATGTCAAACTCCAGTGAACAACTTTTTCTGCTAAATACACACACGTGAGCACACTAGATTTCATAAAGTGATTTTAATAGAAAAGTACAAGATATGAACAAAATAAATAATCTTTATCTCATTTCTAGCCCAGTAAATTGTACACTGCATATAAAAATTCTCTGAAGATTCTGTTTTTTTTCTATTCTTTCTTCACTTTCAAAATAGGGACTGCATTTTAATTCAGTCTTCTAGATCCAAACTAGTAACATTTTTTTAAAAACAAAATTTATATCAACATTTAATTACATCCATTTTTTTTCAAGTTGGCTTAACAAGATCTCTCCCTAAAATATAACATACCCACTCATCAATTTTAAATGTAAAATTCATGTTAACAAGCATGTAATTCATTTGTAATTCCTAGGTCTCTAAAACTTTTCTCTATTAAATTTTATCATCTCACTTTGAAAACACAGAATCTCATTTTTACCACTCCATAGATAGAAGGGAGACTAGAAAATACTTTTTTAAAAATAAATATTTTAAGGCATTCTTTACAGTGAAAATGCAGTATTTTAGACCTGTACCTTGGTACTAACTTGCATTAAATACATACTTTGAGATTTAAGTCCTTTTCCTATTTCTCTGATTCTCTTATGTCACTCGGTGGGGACATGGGTCACTGTCTTTGGGAGCTGTTTAACTTGGATGAAGCCACCTAGCACTCATCTCTTAATTGGAGGATTTGTCATCCTGCTCTCAGTGATATCATTTTCCAGTGGCTTGGATCATGGTGTATAAGAATGAATTGAAATGGTCATCAGCAACATCATCATTGGCAAGTGAGGGTTGTAATAGGTTGGGTACTCATGCTGAGGCCCTGCCAGCCTTATGCTTGAACTTGAAAAAAGCGGAACCAAGAAGCTGATTAGAGCAAAGTTAACTGCCCTAAAAGGCAGAAGCGTCCTCTTCCTGTAACCCACTGCAAACATTTTGTACACGACTGCCACTACCCATAGATACAGTTTTCACTCATCTCCCACCCCCTATTGAGAAAATCTTGAATGAACTCCAGGATGAGAAGGAAAAAGATGCTGACTTTGCTACGTCAACTATACGCTTTTGCAATAAAGAACACTGGTCACTACACAACAGATGAAAAACTGAAACAGATGTGACTCCTAGAACCACAAGGGGTTGAATTTGCCCAGAAATCTATTTTAAACACTCTATATGTTGGTCTACTGGGTTTTTTTTTCTTTTTTTGAATAATGCATTCTTGGCTTCCTTAAAAGGTTTCAATATGTTATAAGGTTATCCAAAAGAGAAAGGAAAAATAGCAAAGGGCTAGTTTATCAGTCTGCAAGGCACTAACCAGATCTCCACGTACATTTTCAGAAAGCACTGGAACTTAATGGCATTTAACACAAGAAATCTTTCGTTTCTAATGAGTTCATTCTCTGTAGACTGAGGCTCTTTTTTAAAAAATAAAACCTGCCTTCCAAGGGACAAAGAGATACCACACGTGGTGCACAAGAAATTCAAATAGCTGCGCTCCTTGCAGTGGTAAACATACAACCATTATATATACGCATTGTGACTAAAAATCTGGTCATGGATAAAAGCATGTGCCTTGCTGGTTCTTGTCCTCAAGGTTACAACAGCAACACGCTCTAAAACAATTAAGTTACATGCATAATGCTAAAAGTATGTGAGCAATCCTACGTCCAGCTTTAAGCCATCTGTTTGATTTCTTTTTTTTTTTTTTTGAGGAACATATATAAGAAAAGAAAATTCCCCTTTTGTTCTGTTACATACAGAAACCTTTTGAAGCTTCGAAATAGTTTCATTTGGGTAAAGTTCTTTGCTCTTCTATGCTTTACCCCATGGGTTCACCAAAAATCTCCACATGAAGGACAACTAAAACCACTTACCAATATACAAGTAACATTTTATTTTATATTCTATCTTCCATTGGCATAAGCCTCTCGATGTTTTCTTTAAAACCAGAGAAATATACAAATCACACAAGACAGAAATATGTACATTAAAAGTACAGAATAAAGGCCATAAAAGATATACATAATATCTGAATGACATGTAGAATATTTTTACATTAAATAGTTTCTTTTGAAAAGCTAGGATTGTTAAACTCCACTCTGTTCATAAACATGAATCGCTACAAAAAAAAAAAAAAAAGGACACAATCTGATTTAGCAAATAACAAAAGTTACTTCATGGTTTTTGAAGAATAAAAACCAAAAAGTGACATTTCTAACTAATTAGTGCTTTTTTTTTTTTTTTTAGATTTCTTTTGCTTGCAATTTACTGCAGCTGAGGGGAAGTAAGTATCCTGTGCAATGAGTTAAGAGCCCAGCTGGTTGAGGGGGCATGAAGGCCACCATGCCTAGAAAAGCTACGGAACACATGCATCTTTCCAAACCTTTAAAACAGTGTCAGTCTGAGAGAAGAACACATTTGATGGCACTTTTGGAAAAGTGATGTCCTTTGTCGGGGAACCAAAAAAAGTTACGCCAGCTATGTAGGAACAGGGACTCTGACAAGTAGCACCAAATCTGACACATACATTTCCACTCTACAAGATGTCCTAAGTGAACGGAAACAATGATACGCCCAGATCTCTTTACAGTCACATCTGTGAGGAACCATTATGCCCTCTCTTCAGAGGGATGTTGAAAGGGAGGTGAAGAACAGGGGGTGGGCGGGAAAGACAACCTTCAAACAAACATGTATTTCAGTGAGTCAGACCATCAAGATTCCTCTGAGCACAGCTTTCTTCCTGGTGCTGGGAGTACGATCCTGTCAGGGCCACGCACCAAGCTTGAGACTCAAAACTCTTTTAGAAAAATCCCAACTGGATTGCAATGAAGTATGACAATGTTCCAGACAGAGAAATAAGCCCAGAGTCACCTATAAATCTAAATCGCTGACTGCACAGAGATATAATTATATTTATATTTATATATGTATATATATATATATGTTATGTACAAAAGACTGAAATATCAGGCACCATTAGACCACATTTCCCCCTCACCCTTTATAAATGCAACTGTTCAAGTACACTAGGAACAGCTTTAGTACCTGCAGGATAATAGGAAAAGCATGAGTCGATACTCTAACACAGGATTATAACAGCAAAATGCTGAGACACCTCTGTGGATTGCTTCAGCCAAGTGATATCATCAAAACTATGAAGTTACTGTGCCTCGGAATAAAAAGTTACAAAATCCCTAAGTGGCAGTTTTCTTAGCAGACATTCCACTTCCTGTCCTACAAAGGGGGCCCAGAGGAGCGGAGCTGCCCTTGGCATGTGTGCCAAAGCTCACACAACAAAGAGGGACCAAAGATTCTTTGGGGCCCTGTAGGAAGAAAGATTTCAAATTTTGACTGCTATAGCACAGGACTGAACTGCATATGATCACCTGTGATCTGTGGGCTGAAGATTTGTGAAAAGAATTGATGTATTACCTTCAATTAGCCTTTAGGAACCAAGTATTTCTAAGAAAATGACAAGCTATTGTTCTTGATATTCAAGCTATCACCCTCTTCCCAAACAAGCAACAACAACAACAATGAAGTCTAGTACACAGAATTATTTAACACTACCAATTCATGGTCCCAAAAGAACTTTCAAACTTTTTTAATTTCTGAGAACTTTTCTTTTCCCTGTTTCATAAGCTACTAGAATAAGACCATCAAATGATGAAATACTGGGGAATTACACACGCATGTGCACACACGCACACGCATGCATACACACACACACACACACACACACACATGATATGCCTTAACTCTGGATATAATGAGACACTTGCTCTTACAATTTAAGCAACAATTTTGAAAATATTTTTTCTTTTTTAAAAAAAAGCAGGCTGGCAGCCCCTTGAAAACAGGGGGGTTTGGTTTTCTGAGGTTTGGCTTTTGTATTTTTTTTTCAAGACCTTTAGTCTCACACCAGAGTATTAACAATTCATTTTGGTCCTAGAAGCTGAATCATGCATAGATTTGTACCGCCCTCTTCCAGCTGAGTCTTACCCATCCCATGGGACTCTGTAATTGAGACAAAAAGAATGGATTTTCTGTACCTGTGGATGTCTACCCCATCCAGATGGCTGACTTAGGGTCTGAGTTATCTCCCCTTCATCTTACACTATCAGAAGAAGGTTTGCAGAGATCTATAAAATAAATACTTTTCTTGATTCCCACCCCTATTATTGCCAAGTAATAATTATAATATTAATTAATAATCCACAGAGTTCTTAGATGTAACAGAAAAATATGCTTCTGGTTGTGGTTCTTGGGGGAAAATTAAAATATATATATATGTATGTATATATATATATATATATATTTAAGAAGAAAGAGAGAACCAAAATCACTGTACTTTCTATAAATAAATGGATCCTGGGAAGCGGGGTTGGATGGCGAGCAGGCGCCCACTATTTGCATACAAACTGGTCCACGATTTCTGTGCACTTCTTACACTTCACATAGCAGCACCAATGGAACTTGCAATGACAGCGCTCTGTCTGCACGGTCTTGAACTGGTCATAGCCTCGACCACAGCACATGAGCTCACAGCCATCCATGCCCTCTGACGTCTTGTTGCACAGGCGGCCCTGTGTGCCCAGGGAGCCCGTGCTCTCGTTGCGCACGCAGTAGTCAGGGCTGGGGTCAATGTAGACCAGATCCTGGGTGGTGGGTGAGTTGAAGCGACTGTTGACCTGTACCAGCTTGCCACGGCTGTTGAGACGCATGGCTGCGGCGCTGTCATACTTTTCCTTCAGTGCATCGCCCACCTTGCGGAAGTCAGCCAGCTGTAGCCAGCACGTCTTGAGACTACATGAGCCCGACACACCATGGCACTTGCAAGCCACGTCAGCCAGATTGTACACCGTCTGTGACAAGATAGGGAAGGTTTAGTGTGCAAATTCCTAGAGGATGCAAGATGCAAGCCTGGGCAACGTGCATGAAATTCTCCTCGAACTTCTGGATGGAACCATGTGCTCCTACCCCAGCTCAACTAGGGACTTCCTTATTTCCACTTCATTCTCACTACTAGAGGCCTGTGCTGCCTTCTCTCAAGGCGCAACATCATCGTAATATCATCAACCACCATCAGGGAGGACACAAAGTTCCCATGAACACACATCCCAGAGACTGCCTGCTATTCAGTATATCACTACAACCAGCCTCTGCCAGGCAGGCTACTGTCATCCCATTTCTCAGAGAAAGAGGGGAGGTCCACAGAGTTGAGTTCCTCATCCCATCACTGACACTCAGTGGGGATGTTAGGATTTGAACCTAGGCAGCTGTGGGCACTAGCTAGTATGTGCTGAGCTGGGAATGTGACCCAGCCCCAGTAGGATCAGTGTTCAAATCTTGATGGGTTCCAATCATCATTACTGTATACCAACTGCCACTGTAAGAGCCCTTACACTCTTGATCTCATTTAATCATCCTAGTCTCTTGGTAATCTAGACAGGATTAGATGAGAGCACAGTGTGCCAGAGAAGGAAGGTGGCCTACCGCTAGGTCTCTCCGCTAGGGCTGTGGGGGAACTGGGCCTGGATCCCTGCTATCCTTGCTCCTTCTTACTATCTAGTCCCTACCTTGCTCACAACATCCCCTAGGGCAGGAGCCACCCAGACAGACAAGGATTCTGTTCCTGACTCTGCCCTTGAATTTGGGCAACTGGTTGTACCTTTCTGAGCCTGTTTTCCATCTGTAGATGGCACAAACCTTTCAGTGTTGGTAGAAGGATACAATTAAGGATGGGAGGCAAAGTGTGCTTGGCACTCTACTCAATACTCAGTAAATCTGATCTTTTTCCAGCGTGCTGGGGCATGGTGTCTGAGCCTCTGCCCAGTCACCTCAGGCCTCCCAGTAGCACTGCCCAAGGGTCTGGCCCTGAAGCACTGTGCCCAGCAGTCTGGGAGGTAGTGGCTGTCTATTTATAGCCCCTACTGCCCACAGTTCCTTGTGCCAGCAACCTTCTAGAGTCCACGTGGTGTGGGTGTGCTGGCCAGGGCCTGTCAAGAACCTGGAGCCACTTCCTCCCCAGCAGCTACCTTTTTCCTCCAGGGATTCCTAAGGGGCTTTCACTTTAAAAGGGCCAAAGTGTACTCTCTTGGCATAAAGACTTTCAGGTGCTCAGCTAGGCTGAGAAAGGTTTGGCAAACACATTAAATCTGTGCTCCCCTGTAAGGAAAATAAAAAGCTAATGCCCTGAGGAAATTTGAATATGATTTCCCAGCACAATATCCAACTTTCTACCCCATCCCACCATCCTACAGAAAAACTTTTTTTTTTTTTGGGGGGGGGGGGGGTCCGGTCTTGGGGCCTGAACTCTGGGCCTGGGCGCTGTCCCTCAGCTCTTCAGCTCAAGGCTAGCGCACTACCACTTGAGCCACAGCACCACTTCTGGCTTTTTTCTTTTTGCTTATGTGGTGCTAAGGAATCGAACCCAGGGCCTCAGGCATGCAAGGCAAGCGCTCTACCACTGAGCCACCTTCCCAGCCCCCAGAAAAACTTTTTTCTATGTATCATCACCCACCAGAAGCCATGCTCTGCTCACTGCTCCAATGACAGATTGTGCCCAAATAAATCTAATTATTTTTTTTAATACACATTAACCAATGTGCGGCCTATGCATGTCATTCTAGCTGTGAAAGATGCATAGGCAGAATTATCATGATTCAGGTCTGCCCAGGCATAGCTGTTAAGATTCTATATGAAAAGATACCTGAAGCAAAAGAGTTAGAGGCATGGCTCAAGTGGTACTTACCTAGCAAGCACAAGATCCTGAGTTCTCAAACCCCAGTACTACCCTCCAAAATGCAGATGTCAAATGAAATTTCAACATTAAAGGTGCATTTCAAAGTCTACAAAGTTCCCTCCTGCCACTTGGAAACGCTTTGACCCTCTAGTTAGTTATGATGATTTCTTTGAAGAGAAGTGAAGGAATGTACCAAAGATCGCAGAGCACAGAGACTATGGACATCCTAGAAGAATTAGATGCACCTATGTTCAGGACGCATTTCTATTCAGATGGATACAGAGGCATGAGTGGTATTGCTGAGGCGAGCTGGTCTTATAGGCTTCCGGGAGCAACGGAACTGACCTACTATTACAAGTCCCTCTGTTAGCTGTTATTGGGAGAGAGGATCAACCCACACTCAGGCACCACAGCAGGGGCAGTTCTAAGCACAGGGGGGCAACACTACCTCCAGAACAATTACCTGAGCCCCTGAGGGCAGCACAGGAAAAATCTGCAGAGCTTAGTTCTTCCTTGATACCTCCAAATGCTGAACATCAATTGTGAAAGGAAGATAAGTTAGCTAGAATTATCTACAATCTTTGACTTCCTTACTTACTTTACTCTAATGTTTAATAATTAAGTTATCATTTATAAAGATCTTACTACTGGCTGACACTAAATTTAAACCTTAGTCTGAAGCAAATGCGACTGTTATTTTAGAGATCAAAATAGTCAAGTCTGGCTAGGCACCGGTGACTCATACCTCTAATTCTAGCTACTCAGAAGTAAGATCTTGAGTGTCAGTTTGAAGCTAGCCTGGGCAGGAAAGTCCACGAGACTCATATCTCTACTTAACCACCAAAAAGCCAGAAATGGAGCTGTGGTTCGAGTGGTTGAGCACAAGCCTTAAGTAAAAAAGCTAAGGGACAATGCTCAAGCCCTGAATTCAAGTCCTAGTACTGGCACGTGTATGTGTGTACGTGCACACGCACATACACACACACACAGAGTCAAGTATGGCAATTTCATATGACTCAATCTACTACATGACCTTATTTGGTCTTCACAATAACCCCCAAGGGACAGCCATTGCCATGGCCACTGGCAGACAGAAATGTGGAAACCAATTGGAAACCAAAAGAAATAGACAAAACTAAATTAACCTACATTTCTCTAATTCCCAGCCTTCTCAATTTTCACTCCTAAACTGTGATGTATGAATTTAATCCCAGTCAACCTAGGCTGATATTTCAATCCATTCATTTTCTTCCATGGTCACTAAGCGGTTCTCCTGGCCTCAGTTTCCTAATCTTTGAAATAAGGGTGTAGTGCCAGAGGGTTCCAAGGCTCCTTGCAGTCTTCTATGGTCTACTCTGTGATTATCTTCCATTTTTCCTCACCCCCAAATACAAGAAGAGTGAAATCTCTGACCAGAAAGTTCCTGGCACCTACCTTGGGTTCTGTGAAAAAAAATAAATAAATAAAATAATAATAATGGTCCTAGTTTTCAACACTGCCAAAGTTAAGAAAAGTTTTCAGCCCTTCATTTTAAAGAGGCCATAAAATGCCATGTGTTTAACCGCGGGGGTGTGTGTGGGGGGGAGTATCTTTTTAAATTATTGTGGTGTACTAGGGAGAGGGAAGAGCAGGAACCGGCTTGGGGCTGCCACGGTCCTCTCTGGGTACTGCTGTGGCTCCTTCTTTCCTTTCTCCTGCTGCCCTGTCATTGGCTTGATAGTCAGACCTATAAAATTCCCTCTTGTTAAAAATGTCTTCCTATTCCTAGAAAAGCACCTTGGTAAAACCCTCAATCCACCACATCAGGCCTGCCATCTAATGATAGAAGGATAGGAGAAAGGAAGGGGGAAAAAAAGAGGCTCAATGTTGGGGTGAAGCTCTTGCTCAATGGGGCACCTCACTAAGATAAATATTAATCCCCCCCCCAATTTCAACCCAACCACAGACATGTTCCAGGAAGGAGGGAGAACTGTTTGTGAGCTCCGCCAACAGAAATGACTAAAAAGGGAGAGGAGGGGAGGGGGGAGAGGGAGAGGGAAAGAGGAGAGGAGAGAGATGAGAGGGCGCTAGGGCTTTCTCAGTTAACAGCTGGGGCAGGGGGGAGCAATCAGGGGGCGATCCACCACCTCCCCAGTCCTTTCTGGGGTGTGCATCTTCTCTCCAAGAGAGGCCAATGGGACCATGGGAGGGGAAGCGATGAGAGGCTGACTGCAAAAGCAGACGGGAAGCCTGGCGGCATACCATGGGCCAGACAGGGGCAGGGGTCGGGCACTCACCCTGCGGCCTGCCTCGTTGTTGTGCAAGTTCATGAGGATGCGCGCGCTCTCGTAGGAGCCCTTGGCGTGGATGCGCTCCCGCTCGCGCGCATCCACGAACTCCTTGGCGAAGCGGTAGCCGTAGTCGATGTTGTCCCCGCAGCCGCCCCACAGCCAGTCCCGCGGCAAGTCCTTGGGGCGCGCAGCGCGGCTGCAGCCGCAGGTAGACAGCTCGCCCTCGCGGCACGCACGGCTCATGGCGTTCACCACCCCCGCCGCGCTCACTGCGTAAGTGAAGGCCGTCTCCCGGCTGCCTGCGGATCAGAACGAGGGGTCACCGGGTGCCAGTTCCACCCTGAAGCCTGACGGCCTGGGAGCTAGAGCAGACTTCCCCATAGACAGGCCTTGGGCACTCCTAAAATGGGGAGCAGGGTGATCTCCCAACAAACTCATCAGGTGTGGGCCCAAGGATGACTGCGGGAGGCAGACCCACCACCACCCATTCACCCATGCACAGAAGCAGGGGGGCCTGGGGCCACTGGGGAATGTGGAAATGCCCTGAGTGGACCCTAGAGCACTCAACTGCAGGCAGCCCTTGAAGGAGGGGCGGGGCTGGCCCCAGCCTTAAGCTACCTTGTCCCTGGGTCCACCTTGAGGGGAAGTGGAAAGAGATCTCTGACTTAACACAGAAACATCAAGAAACAAAGGAGAAGCAGATCCTTGCTGTGTGCTCTGACATTTCAAAGCCTAAGGCTGGACTCTAGCAGCAGCCCTGGATTGATTTCCTCTACAGCTCTTTTGAAGATATTCAAGTCTTATTTCCCAATATGCTCATGAAAGAAGTCATTGAAAGAAAGCACAAAATTGGAGTAGACTTCCTTGCCCTAGTTCTAATGTTTGGTATTATTTTCATTTTGAGTGGCGAAGTACTAAACTTGCTAGGTATCCATGCCTCTAAAAATCTTAGGTTCCCAACCTAAGCCAGACATGCCTGGTGGCCACACTGGTTTTTGCTTGTCAACCCTCCTCTGTTAACTCTCCTCCCTGTTCATCAGGCAGGACAAAGTCTATCTCTGGACAAGGCTCGTTATTGTCATAGGGGAGAGTGCTAAACTGTTCTTATAAATGTAACCTGCTTCTTAAATCCCAGCTGATTGCATTGATAAATTACATTTTTTAAAAAGTGTAGTCAGGTTCTAGTGACATGCTTATAATTCTAGCCACTCGGGAAGCTGAGATCTAAGAATCGAGGTGATCACAGCTCCAAGACAGTCCAGGCAGGAAACCCAAGACTTACCTCCACTTAACTAGCAAAAAGCCAGAAGTGGAGGTGTGGCTCAAGAGTGAGAGACCCAGACTTGAGTAAAAAAGTGGGCAAGAATGCAAGGCGCTGAGTTCAAGTCCCATTACTGGCACACATATACACACAAAAAAGGATATACATGTCTACTTTTAAACAAGTACATTCTGTAATGTACTTTCACAAACAAAGCATTAGAATGATAGAAGAAAGACAGGAAGGAAGGAAGGAAGGAAGGAAGGAAGGAAGGAAGGAAGGAAGGAAGGAAGGAAGGAAGGAAGCGAGGGAGGGAGGGAGGGAGGGAAAAAAAACACCTAGGCAAAAAGGAAGTTTTCTCCCTTCTCAAAACTGGTAGAGAAAAATGTACTACAAAACAGCCATAAGAACAATATTTCTAGGGAGACAAATGCGGCGATCAGAGACCACCTTAAATTCCACTTGGGTATGGAAAGATTGTAACAAGAACCACTTTATAAAGCATGAGAAAGGGTTACACTTGGCCAGCTGAAGTTAGGCCTTGGGGGCATTGGGGGCAGCCGGACAAGGAGCTTCACTTAACTCAAATGTAAAGTAAGGTATTAAACGAGATGCTGGGGGTAGGAGGAGGGCCCAAGCACTGAAATCTCCACAGCACACTCCTATACTTACTTTGAGAGCTTCCCAAAAATAGTTTCGGGAAGGATCAAGGGGACAGCAGCCATGGCTATCCCAGCAGCAAGCAGAAAACTCATCCTACAGAAGTATTCAGCAGACTGTCTTTCCCCTGGACTTCAACTGCAGCCATTTGTGATACCCCCTTTTCTATCACCATGACTCACACATCCTCCTCTTCCCACACTTCAGGAGTGTGCTAGTGGTTGGTAGGAGGATCCACAAAGTTCCTGTGGGACTTTACATCTCTTTAGATCACATTGGAAAGGGAGAGAATGTTGGGAGGAGTAGAGACAAATGGGAGAGGACAGATTCTAGGAAGTTACTTGAGGATTAGTGCTGATAATTCAGAATACATCCAGGCCCAGGACAGAAGACTTGCAAAAGAGGAAATGGCTAGAAAACAGAAGATAAAATGACCCTCAGAGGACAGAGAGAAATAAGAAAATATCCTTTGAGTAAAAACATGAAGCACTTTTTTTTAAATAACAAAACACAAATGAAGTGCTTTTTTTCCCCCATACATCTATCTTAAGCATTTTCTTTTTTGGACCCTAGAATACAAATCTCTAAGCTTATTGATGACTACAGAAAAAAAAGGGGAAAAAGAAAAAAGAAAACCAAAAACACACACACACAAAAAAAAAACCATCACTTTGGAAAGTGCTCTTTGGAGAGACGGCTGTCAACTCCTGGTTGGAATATTGCTAATTCAGTTAGGTTTTCCTCTTTGTGCAATCTATAGCTACTTGGATCCTCACACCCCTTAAAAATAGCACTTCCCTGACATAGCTTTTCACAGCATGGAAACAAAGACAAGATGCAGGACAAAAGCTGGAAGGAAAGGGTAGCATGATGAAAAATGAGAATGTTTCCAGAATGAGTAGTGGGCCCTTCATGAGGCAATTGTGCCTCCAAGCAACCGGCACCTTAGAAAAATGAGCTGAGGAGGGGGTCAGAGGTGGCAGCAGAGTTTCTCAGACTGGAGGCCCCTCACAGGGTCAGATTCTCACAGACAAGCCCTGCTCTCAATGTCCAGGAGCACTAAGTGCTGTGGGGCTGCGCACACACCTTTGAGTATCAAAGGTGTTTTTAATCTCCTCTTTGCGTAGCCTCTCCAGACTCTGAGGTAGAATCATAAAGTAATTGCCCATTCTTGGAGTTCAGACCATGTTTCTCTTCTATTAAAAAAATAATTTTTTTGAGTTTTATTTCTTCTGCTCCCCATCTCTTCTTTCAAGTAAATTAAGAAAGACAAAGTGCCACCCGGGTCCTACTAAGAGCACCCAGTAGCTTTCCATCAGACCCCCCTTGTGGGCCTCTGGCCATGGAGATGGTGGCCGGTACTCAATCTCTTCTCCCCCCCCCCCACACACACCCCTTCTTTCCCAGAGTATCAGCTGACTTGCACCCAGCATCCAGGAAACTAACTTGTAGGTCATCAGGTACCATCATTCCAGATGGTCATCCACTGGATGACCAACAGCTGAGGACCAGAGGATGTTCTTGCTAGGGAGTTAAATACAGGCTTTGGTACCAAGTGTTTTATTTGTTCCCTGAGGAAACAGGTTCTTTGAATCTTGGACCAATTTTAAATAAATCTCCAGCAGGACTCAAATTCACTTAGCAAATGGAGAGCCTGTTCTGTACCCTTTGGCCTCAAATAGGCCATGTATGAACAAGAGGTTCAATCTAGCTGGTTTCAGTGACTATACAGGAAAACAGTTTCAACTACTGTTCCCCTTCTGGTCACCATTAAAAAGGTGTGGGATTTTTGCTACCTCATGTCCAGGCCAAAAAAAAAAAAAAGTCCCACAGTTCAAACAGCAGGAGGTTGAGAAACATAGGAGGAGGAAAGCTGACAACTTATCATTCTGATAGTTTTGAGCTTTTATCTCTTGCACAACATCAGAATGCTGAAGAATTAAGTCTCCACCACATTCCAGTTAACTACCTAAGACAGTACAAATGCAGGAACCACTTCCCACGTTCCTGAAGCTCCATTCAGACTCTACTATATACATTAGCTCATTTTAATCATTGACAGAAAGGGCAAAGCTCTAAGAAACAAGCAAGCTGTGGCCAGCCACAAGCTATTCTCTCATTCTTTTAGCGGACTGGCTTCCAATTCCATATTATTTTAGTTTTTGAAGTCCTTTGCCTCAAACATCCACTGATAATTCTTTTCTATTCTCAATTAATGCACTTTTCAGGGTTTTTGTTAAAAAAGCATTTTATCCATTGGTGATTGGATATTAAGCCAATTTTTTTTTTATCTCCAGTCAGTATAAACTATTGCTTGATAAATTGCTTCTCATTTTCAGAGTCACTGCAGTCATATTAATTATAAGGGCTTATTTGCATAAAGCTAAAGAGACCTTAAATATATTCACACTAGAAAACACATATAAGACCCATCTGTCAAATAAGATACTAGCTTATTAAGCCAAACCAGAGACCAACAGAGTTTTCAAATGTTTTGTTTTTATCCCAGTTCAAATGCTATCTCATCTCTGAATAGAGTAACAAGTTCAACATATTTAAAATTTTTAAAAATTCAGACTGTAAGCAATATGCTTATGTCTTAAAAAAATTCTAGGTTTAGAGCTCAAACATGTGTTTTTCTGTCAATTGTCACCCCCCCACCCACCCACCCACCCATACAAATTAGATCACTTCTAGTTAAATTTCTTTCTAGGAGTAAAAACAAAATCTTTTTAACTTATATACATATATATGTATGTGCATGTATATATGTATATATACATATATGTGTGTGTATATATAAGCATATATAAATGTGTGTATATAAGCATATATACTTATATATGCTTATATATATACTTACATAAGCATGTAAGTATATATGCTTATACACAGAGTACCGTAGCCTCAGGAAATATCTATAGTGGGAAAATTAGAACCTTGCTCACTTCCAGTCTATCTAGCATTCAAAAGATGATGATCACTAGTTTGATGCTTGAGTGATGTGAACTATGGATTAAGATACTTGTAACAGCCAAACGAATTTTTAGGTTTAAAGAATCATTAGGTCCCTTTAAGTAAGGGATCTAAATGACTGGACTGTCCCTGTTTACTTTTGAGAAACTAAACTAAATATTCTGCTTCCATTCTGAACAAAATGCATATCAAAAAAATACGCATTGGGAAATTAAGCATATCAGATATGCATATCAAAATGCATTATCAGAAAAAAATTAAGCATTGGGAAAATGAAGGCATCTTGATGTACCCCTCATTTGGCTTAAGAAGACTTCCATAATAACAGAAATCCCCAAGCCACCACCCAAGCTGAAAGGTGCCCTCCTCATCAAGCATTTAAACCAACACCAATGATTTTCTCTAGGAGAAAAAGAAATACATATATTCATAAAACTTTCCTACCTATCTGCATAACTCTGCCAAACACGGAGGTGTTGTCCACTGTGCTGCAGTTCCATCTTCGGTGTCGGAACTGATACTGGCATTCCTTGATGCCTGTCTTCGCGCCTTCTCCAATGTACTGCATGTGGTCCTGATACAAGTGGCACAGTTTCTTCTGTCCTTGAGAAAGTCCTGCCAGTTGGCTGCAGAGAGGCTGCGCTCCTATGATATATACTTCTGACATCTGAACAGGGTTATTCATACCTAGCGACCTGCAAAGTGGGGAGGGAGGAGATATATGTGCATTGAAGATTTACGTGAATTCTCAAAGTAAGCCCCATGCTCCGAAAGCATGTCAGCAATACATAGGTTTAAGAACACAGATGTTTTTTTTTTTCTCTCCTGCTTGTCCTCATGACAAAGTACGAGAAGGGTTTCATAAAACTCCTCTGTTTAAACTGCACTCAGAAAACAGAGGTATTGTATAGATCCCATCTTGCCATCTGGCTCCTCAGTTAGCATTTCATGGCCTTCCTTGTCCTGGCTGCCAGGTACCTGAACCAGTTATTTCCAAAATCCACCCAAAAAAGGACCAGCCTGTGACATTAAAGAAAATGACTCACTTTGCCCCATAAATTGGACAGATCTGCCTTGAAAAAAACATAACTGCCAACAGCAGACACAATTAGACACGGACAGGAAAAAGCAGTTCCTCTCAACTGTTGGAAGAACAGAGGAACAAGTATCCAGACTGAAGAAAATTCACCATGCTTCTGGATAGTTTAAAAAGGCTCCTTATATGATTATGAAGGACCCAAGACAGGGTACCCAGTGAACAGAAGTCATGTTTGACAATCAGAAAAATGCTGTTCATTTACCAGGGAAAAAATATCCAGAATGCCGTCAAAAATAATCCTCTGGATATACTGCAGTCCATCTAGAAGTCCTTTCCAGAAAAAAAAAAAAAAAAAACTCCCATTTAGAGACAGTTGATTACTTCAAGTTCACCTCCTTTTGATCAAATTTCAAGCCCAAATGCTTCTACATTTAGTTTAGTTTGAGTTCCTACCACTCTGCTCCCCTAGACTCTAGGTTAATAACTTGCAAGGGACAGAAAATAAAAGTTGAAAAACTCACTTTTACTACCTGGAGGTGGCAAAAAGTAAATTTTATAGATAGGCTTACAATTATTATAGAAGAGAATTTCCTTTTTTATTACATGATGTACTAGAAGCACACGTCAGAACAAGGGCCTCAGAAAAAGGCCTAGATTTATAGGTTCCAACTCCCCACGGAACTGAAGATACGCTGTGCAATATCAGCAAGTTTAGAGAAAATTCTTATTTTAATATATATATATATATACACACACATATGTATTAGATAAATGCTCTAGCCAGCTTTTAATATTGCAGCGTCATACAGACGGATCTTGGGGTGGGGGAGAGAATATGCACATAGAATGAACTTACCACCAAGAATTGGCTTCAATTACAACCTGGGCGAAGGAGAAAAATACGGCCAAAGCCATAAGGAAGAACTTGGAAGACATTGTACCTCCAGCCGTCCCCAAAGCCATTGCTGGGCTTAATATTCCAATCGACTTCTGGAGAGGGAAGAAAGGAGCAGATAGATGTTTATTGCCTTTCAGACAATTTCCAAGCATACAAGTTTAAACAACGGAAGCATCCGGGGGTCTCTTAGGTTTACTGTTGATTGACTGCGCTTCTCCTTCGTGAGGTTTTTGTTTTGTGTTGTTTTTTTGGATGGCAAGATACAGGAAGCCCCCCACCCCGCCCCGCCCCAGTCCCCAATTAATCCACCCACACAACCTCACCAGGAAATCTGATTTTGCTGGGATCCTGCGAGCGGGCAGCGATTACAAACACGTCTCGGTGCTGCTGAGTCAAAGCCCCAGTGCCAGTCCCGAAACCTCTCGCCCCCCTCCAGCTCACACTGCGCTCGCCCCCCCGTTCTCGCCTCGGGAATTCACCGGTAGGAACCCGCCGCCACCCTCGTCCTTTTCCCCGACCTGGGCCAAGCAACAAGTGGAGCCAGAATTAATTCCATGGGCCAGACGAGCGCGAAAGCTCAAGGCGTGTGGAGCGCGCCGCCGCCGGCCGCGGAGGAGGCGGAGGCGGGGTGGCCGGCGCGGCGCGGGGTGGGGTGGGGCAGGACGCGGGAGGGAAGGGCAGGGGGTGGGGGCGAGGCCCCGGGGACCGGCGCGCGAGTGCCCAGCTGGGAAAAGCAGTTCCGAATTAACATGCTATGTTTCATAATCAGTTTACGGGCCCGATTTTTGGGGGGGGGGAGGGAGAGTAGTTGGGGGGGGGGAGAGAAGCTACTTCCAGATGGGAGGAACGCAGCCTGGGTTTCCTTTTGGACGCTCTTCAGCCAGCGTGGGGCGGGGAGAAGATGGGGAGGGGACCTGAGGATAACGCGAGGAGAGTCGGATCCCCCACACGTACCCCCGGAAAGGTGCCCCCTCCCCCACGCGGCCTCCCCTTCGGACGGCGGAGGGATGGAGGAACGAAGGGCTCGGGGCTCCCGTTTGGGGAGAGGATGCTTTCCCTGCCCTTCCTTCCCACCCCCTCCACCCAACACCCCCCACACCCCCCAAATTCTGATTTTTCTGTCTCCTGACAGCTGCCTCGGAGGAAGGGGACGTGAAACCCAGCAGGCCTTGAGTTTCTCTCGCTCCTGGTTTGGGGTGGTCGGGCGCCTTCGCCCTCGCCGCTGCACTGCGAGGCTGGAAACTCGGCCCCCCGCCCCGAGCCGGGCCTCCCCAGCCCGGCGCAGACTGGGGCCGCTCAGATCCTAAAAGGCGGGGCTGGCGAGGTCCCCGACGTCCCCCGACAGGAGCCAGAGATGCGCCGGCTCCGGAACAACCGTGGTGTGCCCCCCAGGATTCCAGGGCGCAGGGGGACCCGGCGGCTGAAGACTTTCTGGATGGGGAGGGGGAGCTTCCGCTGCCGATCCTCCCCACCGGAGACTCCTCCACCTGCAGGCGGCGGCGGGCGCGGACGAGAGGAGCACGCTTCCCAAACGCTGGTCCACATCTCTTGCGAGGCGGACCTCGGCCGCGACGCCGCCCGCAGCCCCTGCGGAAGCCCCTTCCTCGGGAAAGGAGGGAACGGGGAGCCTCCTCTAGGCGGGCCCAGGGCTTTCCGCCGGCAACCTGCTCAGTGAAGGCGCGGACGGAACCCTGGAGGCGGCAGCCACCCGGAGGGGCTCGGGCCCGGCCCCCTCCGGGCTTCTCCGGGAGGAAGTGCTTAGTTGGTCCCCAGCGCCGGCCCACCGGGGCTCCGGGAGCCCACGGCCCAGACGCGCCCCCCAAAGCGCCGCAAAGTTAGGGGCGCATCCTGGAGAATGGAAATCTGGAGTTTCCCCAGCCGAGGAGAGAGAAACTCTGTCTCCCTCCCTACCCCCGCCCGGAGTGTCAAGTTTCCTCCAGGGGAGGGGTGGGCGGCGAGGTCTGCCTTCGCGCGCGGCCCAGGCAGCAAAGTCGACTCTGCAAGGGCGCCCGAAGCCTTGCACACACACACACACACAGATACACTCACCCTCGTGCACATTTACACACATAAGCGTGCACAGATACACACGTTCGGACGGTCTTCGGGGTGCGCTCCCAAATCGCTGCTGTTCGCGCGCACTTTCCGAGTTTGCTGCGGGCGGGGCGCCCGGGGCGGGGCGCGGGCAGCGGAGAAATTGATAACAGATTCCGCGGATTACAGCGAATCTCTTTGTTAGAGCCGAAGCCACACAAACCGAACCCACTCTCGGCCCTGCGTCCCCGGGGCGACTCCACCAAGTTCCCAGAACAAGAGCCAACTGGGAATGGAGCCATCCGGTTCCCTCCACTCGGGTCTCCCCAGCTCTTGGGTAAGGGTAAGGGGGGATGGAAAGGGGGGGTGGCTCAATTGGAGATCGGACCAGAGAGCGCCTGGAGTGGAGCCTCCACTTAACCCCGTGTGCTTGCCCGGAAACACCTTGGCCTTCTTCCCACTCCAATTCTGTCGCAACCCAGAAAGGGCCCCACAAGTTTGAGACTCGAGGAACCCATAGTGAACTCACTAATAAATACATCGACTCAAGGGTAAAACGTCCCCCATCCGTTTACCAAGAGATCGGATCAGAAAAGACAGTATGAAATGAGACCTCTCGGGAGACTGTCACACTAAGGGTAAAACAAAAGTTCTGGTCAGAAGTTGAGTTTCCCGAAGAATGTTTTCCAACAGGGGCCCGGGAAAGCCAACACGGTTACGATCCTGTGTACAGAGAGGAGGGCTTGGGGCTTCTGAGATGTTTGGCGCAGGGGTGAAATAAGGTTAAAGAGGGCGTTTGCGCACCCCAATCAATCTAGTGTCCCCCCTTTAAGCCACTTCCTAAAAACTACCCTTCGCGTTGGGTTATAGGTGTCAACTGGGGTGCAGGCCGAGGGTGACCAGATAGAGCAACCATAGGGGAAAGCTGCAGAGGACACCCCCATGGAGGTGGGAGCTGCAGGACGCTGGAGCAAACCTATGTGGCACCCGACTGCAGGGCAGACAATCCCTTAAGAGAAAAGATGCAAAGGCTGAGCAAGGGCCTTTGGCCACTGATCCTGCCTGACGTCTGGGCATCCTGTCGACCAGACTGTACATCTAGGGCCCAAATGAGAGATGCCAACTAGGCGGAAGAAGTGAAGTTGACCCAGGCTTATGGTGGCAGAAAGGAAGATGGGAAACTCCAAGAAGAATCTCGGCTCTTGCTAGAAACTAAACTATGTTTCCCCACTCCAATCTCTTCTTAAAGCAGGGAAAGAGTTGGAGAAACTTGTAGAGAAGAAAGAGAAGGAGACAAAAGCAAAGCATAGTTTGCAGGCACAAACTTGAGCTGTCTATCTGAAAACCAAGGACGGAATCTAGAGGAGCTGGAGAAGAATGGAGCAGACCTAGGCCAGAAAGAAGTCTGCTTTTGAGGGAGCAAAGAAGCCATTACTCCCCACGCCTGGAGCCCGGCTCAGTGGAGGGAGCTAGGGCTCACTAAGCCTCTGGGATGTGAGTACACAGCGTGCTGGGTGTGCACACAAGCATTAAGGGAAATAGTCTGAGGGAGGAGGCCAAGGCTACCCCAGGGGCCAGAATCAGTACATGGATAAAGAATAGCTTCTGACCACCAGGTTCTTGGAATGGACATCAGGTCCAGAAACAGGAAGGCTCCAAGGGAAGAATGATCTGGTGGGGTTCTTTCTTTCCTGCCCTTCATCCATCACATCCACAGGGATCTTCAGACATCAACACCCCTCTCTTCCACCAGACTCTTTCCCCTTACACTTTACAATGCAGAACATCTAACAAACTCGCACAGCACAGGGCACACAGGCAACTCTGATCAGAGGTTGGCATTGTCGTATTGGGGGAGAAAGAAAAGGAAAGATCAATCCAAGTCTGATCTTTGGGGGCTGTTTCACCCCCACATTTTAATAGAGGAGAAGGAAAACAACACATCTAATACCACCAAAATCTGGAAAGACCAAATCCTAGGAAGCTGCGGGTATGGCCTCCTAGGACGAAGACACCGTCCATGCTATGTCCAGAAGGAGTACTAACCTTTCGTCCAGTTGACCAATCCCTTTTTGCTGGGTTAGACCTATGGCCTCTTCCTAACTCAACGGTTGCGCCTTGCAGCTCGTCTGGGGTATAGCTGGGGAGATCACGGGAGCCATGTTGGGCCTGGTGGTCCAAAAGGATGAGGTGGGAAAAGGAGAGCAGATCCACTGTGCGCCCAGAGGAAGGGACGGAACTGTGGGGTGCTTTACCGGCGCGTGACCAACAGGGGGCAGCCGGCACCGCACAGCGAGGGAAGAATAGGCAGCCTTTCGGGCTCAGAGATCAGCACGCACAGGGCTAACCCCTTGTGCACTGGAGCGCTCTGGGAGGCTAGGGGAAGACAAGGGACACTGACTGGGCCTCTTCGGGAGGTCTTCCCTGATGGGGTTTGGAGGGAAGAAGACGATCCTTTACTTTCCTCCCATTCCGTTCAGGGAGCGCGCGCGCACCCCCCCCCCCCCCACGCACACACTCCCCACTGTCCCTCGGTCGTCGCGCGCTCTCGGCATCGCCCCCTCGAAATGTTCCTGGTGAAGACTGTCTAGAAATCAAATCTCCGGCTGACTCCGCAGCGATTGTGTTCACGTTAGTCGGAGGGCAAGGGCGGAGGGGCCGAGGGGGTGTGATCTCCCCTAAATGATTTCCAACTGAGTTGTCCATTTAGACAGAGCCGGGGAGAAGGGCTCGCAGACAAGGACTGGAAAGCAACACAGGGCTGGGGGGTGGAGGGATTTTAGGATTAAAAAAAATAAGAAAACCTTTTAGGCGAGAGGTTGTTTTTAGGAAACATCTTAGTTCCAATGCTAGCCTCCTTTATCTAGGAAACTGAAAAATGGGAACGATCTTGGGAAAGAAAATGGAAATTAGGATAAAATCCTGGAGGGCAGAAAGTGATCTGGAGAGCTGAGTTCTAGTGCTAGAAGCCTCGTTAACTTTTCGTAAAAGTGAACTCTCGGTGACCCTCGGAGTGTGTGACTCGGCTTTAACATACAACTGACAATTAAAACAAACACGAGTTCACAAACCGGCCCCCTCCCGCTCTCCGAACCCGAAGGCCCTAGTGTTTGGAAAGGACCGGGCGGACTCCGCTGGCTCCGGAGGTCGGGGCGCTCCCGCCGCCGTCGGGATGAGAGCCACCAGGACCACGGCTTCCCGCCCCCTCCGCCGCGGCGCAGGGCCTGAGCTCACCCAGTGGCGGCTAATAATGCTAATAACGCGACCCGGCTCCCCGCGGCGGGGTGCGCGCTGGCCCCCCGCCAGGCACTCTTAAAGGCACAGGGGCCTGCACCGCTCCGGTTACCCGGCCAGGACGAGCCTGCTCGCAACCTGGCCTCCGCCGTGGAGTGGGGGTGGGGCCAGAGCTGGTCCTGGGTAGCCGGTTCTTCTAACCAACGAGTCCCGTTTCTTTCTTTTTTCTTTCTTTTTTTTTTGTCTCGCGCGCTGGCCACTCACCCTCCCGAACGAATCCACGCCGTGGGCACTGGATAAACATTTGTTGAATTGAATCCTGACCCGTTTACCCAAACTGCACACAGTAAATTCCACTTGGAAGTTCTCAGGGTTAAAATACCAGTGACCTGCGCTCCGTTTTTGTTCTGCTTGTTTGTTTGGGGTTTTTTTTTAGGGGGGGGTCATCGCACTTCCCCACTTTTTTCCTCCGAAGTCACCCAAGTTTGTAGAATACTTGGTGTGACCAGAACTCCCCGGGGACCCTGAGACTGCACTGAGGGTAAGGACGAAGTGGTAGGAGTCCCTGCCAGCGACGCCAGAGCTCAGCCTCCCCAAGCGAGTGGAGAAATGGAGGGATAGAAAGAGATGGAAGGAACTCAGTTAACTCCCCCCCCCTCCAAAAAGAGTGGCGAGCGTCGGCGGCGCCGCACACCTACCTTCATGGCGAGGGGGAGGGGGCGCGGGGAGGAAGTCGCCACCCGAGCGAGGGCAGCCAAGGAATCCAGGCGGAGCGGCCGGGTTAAACCTGGCGGGACTCTCCGGAGCAGAGTTGCGGAGTCCTCCTGGGCGCGTCGGGTGGGCGCAGTGAACCGGAGCCAAAGCAGGCGCTGGCGCCCAGGCCTGGGATCTCGAGGTAGGGTGGCGCTGAGCAGAGCCCGGGAACCGAGGGGGTGCCGACGCACGCCGGCCCGCAGCAAGGGCAGGGCTGCTCCGGGACGCAGTGAAGGAGCCGCGGTCCGGCAAGGGCGCGCAGGCGACTGTTCCGCGGCGAGGCGCTCCCTCTCCAACGTCCATCAGCGACGGTGGTAATTAGGGCTTTCCAACCCCAAATGTGGGCGTGATTGTGCAAAAGACTTTACAACAAATAATAAAAAAAAAAATTCTTCACAGAGGATGAAAAAAAAATGCCCCACTACTCTACTCTGGCCCGAGGCGGGGGAAGGGAGGGGGGCGATCCCTGCGCCCAGGTGCCCCCAGTTCATTCACACCACGGACTCTGCAAACTCGGGCGACTCACGCCTCCTGAGCTCCAGCTCCTCCTCTCCGGTCTGTGGCCGAAACGTCTGTTTCCAGGAGCTGATCCTGTAGCCGAGCTAGTGTGTGGACGTCTGTGTACACACAGACACATACACCCAGGCGCGCGCGCACGCACGCACACACACACACACACACACACACACGCAGCAGCAGCAGCAGCAGCTTTGGGGCCACCGAACAATCAGGCGCGCATGGCCTTTTCTCCAGGAGATACGGCTGAAAACGCACAAGTCGCCATCAGAGCTGCACGAGTCAGCGCCAAATTTTGTCCTTTCATTTTAGGGTCTGGTTTAAAAAAAAATGGGGCGCAAAATAGGTGCCAGCTGGTTCCAAACTTTCTGCCGCGCGGTGGGTAGAGAGAACGAAGGGCAACTGCCCGAGGGGAGTCGTTGGCTGCTCCCCCCCCCCTCCGCCTGGCCTCACCCCCTTCTTTTCTCTCTTCGGATTAATCTCCCCCTCTTTTCCCCGCCTTTCCAGGGCGAAGGGCGGAGAGGAGCGAGGGCACCGCGGACGCAGGGCTGGGGAGGAGCGAGGACGCAGATCTCCGCCAAGACGGCGACTCAGCTCCGGAGGACCGTGGCCCGCGAGGCTGCCCACCTCCTCCTCCACGATCAGCGCCCGGGTCCGCGGGGCGGGCGGGAGGCGGCGGGCGGCGGGCGGTCCGGGACCCAGCGGCGCAGGCGGCGGGAGGAGCTCGCGGGGCAGCGGCCGCACGGAACCGGACTCCGGGCGGCGGCGGCGGCGGCGCCTGGGAGCCTGCAGCAAGCTTTCCACGCGATCCGGTGCCCCGCAGACTGACCGCCGCGGGGACCGCGTCCCCCCCACCCCACCCCCCGGCCCTCCTGGCCAACAGCCGCACTTTCTCCCTCCTTCTCTCCGGACTCCCTCTTTCCTCTGCTATACCCGGGGAGGGGGGGGGGGATTTTTTTTTAAGTTGCAGAACCAAAGGCGGCTGGAAAGAGAGAGGGAACCTGGGGGGGGGGGGGAGAAAGAGGGGGGAAAAACCCACCCTAAACTTTGCCTATGCGCATGCGTGGTGAGGCCGGCCTATGACAAACTTCGCAGGATTTTAAAGCCGTGCTACGGGCTGGGGTGTCGGAAGGCGGGGTACGTCTTCCCCCCCCCTCCCCCCCGCCTTGGGCCCCCTTCTCTAGGTTCCCCATCCCCCAGGCATCTGCTGAGAGAGGTCTCCTCCGAAGCCACTGCCTGCCCGCCGCCGGGCTGGCTAAAGCTCTTCCTCCAAAGCGGCCGACCCGCGCGAGGCTGAACCCCAACTCTCCAGGCTGGATTCCTTGGCTAGCCTACCCCAGTCCCTTACGCTGGGACTGCTGCCTGCTGTGGAAGCTCCTGGGGAAATAAATCTCCTTCTTACTCTTAGGGAAGGGTACCTAAGCCCCTAGCCTGGACCATAGGGTGGGCCCCGTGCAGCAGGGGTTCGGGGGGGGCACCATTGCTCCCCTGGCTGCCACCCAGCGAGGCCAGGCGGGACTCGTGGATGCGTGGTCCTGCTGCGCCCCGGCAGGCGTCTGTTCTCAGGTGAGAAGAAAAGAATTTCAGTTAAATCGGGTTCTGGCTCGGAACTTTTGAACACTTGTGGATTTGGGGGCACTGGTTGGGCAAGACTGAAGGGGAGGTGCATCCGCCCCCAGCACGCTAGGGACACCACCCCCAAACAGTGCCTCATCCTGCAGCTCAGTTCTTCTTTATAATTCTCCTCCTTTAGGGGTCAAAGATTCAAGAGGGAGGCACAGGCGCGCGCGCGCACACACACACACACACACACACACACACACGCGCGCGCACACACACACACACACACACACACACACAGATCTACTTTTGGTAGTTGGTCATCTGTATGCACTTGACCTGAAGGCAACAAAATCCATCCGTGACCTGCATACTTTAAGGTGGTGGCCCTTTAGGGTCGTTCCTGTGCCAACCCTCCCCCCACCCCAGCATACACAGCTGACCACCCTAGGGTATGCGGAAGTAGAGGTTCCAGTTACATCACCTTACCCCCTGTTGCCCCTGCCTAGACCTTAGTTGTTGGGAACAAATGTGAGCACTTCTCTGTCCTCAGCTTGCTTTGGCTTTGTGAGCTTTCCATAAACTTGCAGAGATAAATGCTCCTGCTTATCCCCGTCTGACTGTTTTGTTACAAGGGCACAGGCAGCCTTAAGGAGAGAAAGCCTGAGGTTCTCAAAATTACTCCTTGAGACAGCTCCCCAAGTGTCCTTTAACTTTCTCTAGGTTTTGAACATTTAGACTCTAGTCGGTGTTCTATAATTTTTCATGTGGATTAAGATCTGCCCGCTGGAGAAAAGGTTATAAAAAAAAAAAAAAGGGAGAGAGAAGTCTCTGTGCTTGGCAAATGGGCCTGGGGCAGGTAATGTCCCCCTGTCCTTCCCAATCTCCTTAGTCCTTCTGCCCAGTGGTTGCAGCCTGAAATTCCTGTCTCCCAGAGGTCCTCTCAGCTCTCTCCTGGGGCAGCAGATCTTCAGGACCCAGCAGCACTGTGTGGCAGGAAGTGAGTGTCTATGAATGAAACTCTGGAAGGAAAGGAAGCTTCATGACACCCTAGTTCCTTAGAATGGAAGAGGCACCTTGTATAGATGAGCTGATTCCATAAGGATCAAAGGTCTTAGCCTGAGAATTTGTTCCACCTTTACAATCATCCCAGAAACACCCAATGATGAATGTTAATGGCTGTTTTCTGAGTTGTATGGGACATGGACTGCTTTTGTCCAATTGCCTTGGCATGTTGCACACAGCCCAAATAGTCCTGTTCCTTGTTTTGTACTCTCCCATGGAGAAAGATAGCATTGGGTAGTGTGGCCAAGAGTGCCAGCTCAGGAGCCTGGAGTTTTAGTCCCTGCCCTGCCACTTTCTAGCTGGGAAAGGGCCTCTGGCTGGGTCCTAAGGCCTCTCAGCACCTCAGTAAGCCTCTTAAACACATGCACACAGCAACACACAGAAAGAGATACTCTACTTGGTAGGAGTCCTGAGTATAAAGAGAGATTACTTTGAAAATCAGTGAGTGGAAAGAAAGCCCCCACTGAACATGGGCCAGGCATCCACTTGGGCCTGGATTCCTGCTCTTCTAGAGCAAGTAGGTCTGACAACAGGTCTCCAAACTGCTTCTTCAAAACTGTAACTCACACGACAAGACCATAGTCTTCATTTGTTACCACATGAAGTGAATGCTTAGCCTTTTCTTGGAAAGAAATACAAGGAACATATTTGATTATTGGATCCTTGTTCAGATGAAAATGTGGTCCGGTTTGCATCACATAAGATATGGACCTGTTCTTACCCCACTCGCCACCCCCCCAAAAAATGAAAATGTCTAGGCCTATTTGGTCCCCATGACTTCAGATAATAGGATGAGCTGAATCTGATATTAATGATATTTGCTGCCTCACAAGCAATAAGCTTGTGTCAGCAGGACCTCATTTATATTTTCCATGGCTGTGACCCCAGGTCTTAGATCAGTAACTGGCACTTAAGAGGTGCTTGATAAGAACCAAATGAATGAAAGATGAATAAATGAAAGAAGTATGCCAGATGATGTCATGGGGAACCAACTTAGAAATCCCCTTCAACGGGGGACTATGAGTAGGGGCTTCCTTGGAAAGCCAGACTTAGCTGTTAAGAACCAGTCCGGTTGGGCATGTTGATTGGTTTGGGCTGGAAAATGAGCAGACCATTGGAAAGGGAGAGATGGATGTCTCTCCCTCTGGGAAGGCTTGTGACACACAGACAGCCCTCTGGTTTGCGGAACTGCACATTTCCTCTGGCACACTGTGTCAGTGCCAGAGAGTGTGCTCTCTGACTGAGTTATCCCAAGACACACTGGCAAGGCATGGTCATGTCCTCTCATTAAAAATGCTTTGGAATCTGTGGAACAAATAAATCAATAATTTTGGCTGCCCTCCCAACAGGGTTGTTTCACAAAGCAGTTGTGAGATAAGGAATTTAGGAACCATTGCACCCCTGTGCCGCCTTTCCCAGCAGGAGAAAGCAGAGCCTGTTGTCATTCTGGGAAAATCTACCCTCCTTTTATGCTCAGGCAAATAATGTTTTATGGCCCTGGGTTTATGGTGGTGTTTTAATGATCTGCTGTAGAAAGCAGGGGGTTCTCTCCAGTCACTAGAATTTGTCAAGAAGGGCTGGAGGCCATAAAAAAAGGACGGACCCCAGGGACAAACAGGCTCCATCTTCTGAAATAAACTAATAAAGAGCCCCAAGATGTTTACTCCTTTGCTTCAGAGTCAAGACCAGCAGGGCTATGTGAGAGGACAGGGGCAAATGGAGCCCTAAATAGGACAAAGAGGCCGGAAGGGGGTTGGGGTTTTCCTGGTGCCACATGGCCACAGTCAAAGTAACCCCATCACACTGTCCTGCCACCAGTCACTGGCCTGGTGGGTGACAAAGACTCTCGAGGTTAGAGGACATTTTTGGACTCTGGACAGAACTAAGGAGCTTCCTTGAAAATCTCAAACTCTTCTTGCACTGGGCCTGATCTAACTTAGGGATTTCCTTGATTTTTAGGTTCTGGTACATTTATTTATTTATGTATTTATTTGTCAGTTGTGGGGTTTGAACTCAGGGCCTAGGCGCTATCCCTGAGCCTCTTGGTGCTCAAGGTTAGTGCTCTACCACTTGAGCCACAGCAACACTTCCAGTCTCACAGGGACTTTTCTTCCTGGGGCTGACATCAAACCATGATCCTCAGATCTCAGCCTCCTGAGTAGCTAGGATTACAGGCATGAGCCACCCACATCTGGCTTGTTCCAATACTTTTTGCAGACCCTGAATGGAAGCTTCCTTTGTTCAGGCATCTGTTGTTTGGTTTTAATTTTGGATTTGTTTGTTTTTTTCTTAATGGGCATCAGGATCTGACAGAAATGAATTTAAAGCTTCTATTTGGTTTATACTGGCTCTACAGTAGTCACTTGTCCATTTCAGTTTTCTCACCAGTAAGGTGATAAGAAACGAATTGATTAAAGTGGTTCTAATAATGGTCCTTTCCCTGACCTTGGTGGCTCACAGACGGCAGCTGTGAACCCTAGAAATGTGTGTCACTGAGCTCCTAGGTGAAATCCCGAGACAAGGGCAGTCTGAGAAGACAAGGTAGAGTACTGGAAGAGGAAAGAATGTGACAGGCAATTATTGGTCCAATTCAGTAAGGATGAGAAAAATAAATGCTGAGATAATAGTGCTGAGAATTTTGAATAATAATTGCAAGTAACAGCTACCCAGCTCTAACTTAAGTACCAGATGCCAACTCTGTGAATATTTCTTTATTCCTTTATAGGCAATATTTCCTTGTCTAGTTCATCCTTATGCCTTCAAGGGACAGAAAAGCAAAGACTCGCGGTC